AACTAAAGTAGTGTGGGTATTCTAATTATCTAAAGTAGTGTGGGCATTCTAATTATCTAAAGTAGTGTGGGTATTCTAATTATCTAAGCTAGTGTGGGTATTCTAATTATCTAAAGTAGTGTGGGCATTCTAATTATCTAAGCTAGTGTGGGCATTCTAATTATCTAAGCTAGTGTGGGCATTCTAATTATCTAAAGTATTGTGGGCATTCTAATTATCTAAGCTAGTGTGGGCATTCTAATTATCTAAAGTAGTGTGGGTATTCTAATTATCTAAAGTAGTGTGGGCATTCTAATTATCTAAAGTAGTGTGGGCATTCTAATTATTTAAAGTAGTGTGGGCATTCTAATTATCTAAAGTAGTGTGGGCATTCTAATTATCTAAAGTAGTGTGGGCATTCTAATTATCTAAAGTAGTGTGGGCATTCTAATTATCTAAAGTAGTGTGGGCATTCTAATTATCTAAAGTAGTGTGGGCATTCTAATTTTCTAAAGTAGTGTGGGTATTCTAATTATCTAAAGTAGTGTAGGTATTCAAATTATCTAAAGTAGTGTGGGCATTCTAATTCATGTCAACTAAAGTAATGGTTACTTTAAAATAGTGGTCTCTTGAGTGTGTGTGTGTTTGTGTGCACACACAAGAAATGTGGTCAAAGGGGACTAATTAGGGATGTTTCTGAGTCGGAGTGTATTTGCCAGAGAGATGAGGAACCAACAGTTTGCATACAAATGAGCAGGATCTGTAAAACAGATGTGCATGCAAAAAGTCAAGTTCTAAAACAAGACTGAAGTCCAGAAGTTGACAAACACCCAGAACTTTTCATTCATGTTTACAGCAGGAGAACATTAAGGAGGAGAAGGAGAAAGAGTAGGAGAAAAAGATGGAAGAAGAAGAAGAAAAAAAAAGAGGGAGGAGAAGAAGAAGAAGAAGAAGAAGAAGAAGAAGGAGGATGAGGAAGAAGAAAAATAAGAAGTTTAGATGAATAGGTAAGAATAACTGGAACTATGTAGGGATCAAAATAATGAAGGAGGACTATAAAGAGAAAAAAAGGAGGAAGAGGTAACTGGAGAAGCAGAGGAAAAGAATACATGAAGATGGAGGAGGAGGAGATAGCAAACAGTAGGTGGAGTAGGAAACTACAGTATACAAGAGAAACAAAAAAATGAACAAAGAGGTCTATGAGTAAAGTACCAGAGTGTTCAACGTTCATTACATGGAAGATATCAACCACACACACGCACACACACAAATAAACAGATTCAGAGCTGCAGATCTAAGGAAAAACAAATTCATTAACCAGTTATTTAAAACCACAAAACAAATCTCTCTCACAACAAGCACACAGTCACATAAGCAACCTACAAAAAGAGTTCCCAAGTGACCAAAATGGACAATAAACTACCATTACTGAACACCTTCTATTTGAAATACACAACAAGACGCTTCAGTATAATTATTATAAGAATATTTTAAAACTATAACTACAAAAAAAAAAAAAAAAAAGGAAACAATATGTTCAGGAAAGGGAATGGTAATAAACACAAAAAACCTGGCATAATGGCTGCTGAGTGATACCTTCTCCGCATACCTGACTCTCATCCTTTAAAAGTTAAGACATATACGAGTATATAAGGTGCAATAAAACTATCACACAAGCCGGGGTGAGGTTAGTAGATAAGCTACAATACACAATGTCATATGAGAATATCATAATTGAACATAATTATCCTACTGTTGGTTTAAAAGTAACGTATTTTCTTACATGTTTCTTATTATGTCTTCTTCTGGTTATATCTTATTCTTTAACTTCTTGCTCCTGTTTTTTCCCAAACTGGTTTCGTCTTCTGCAGACTTCGAGCCCCTGTGGTTCATTACTGCAGATATCGCCCGCCTCCATTCATGTCTCTAGTTGACCTTCTCTTTCCATTGGTGACAGCAAGTGTTTGTAGGTCTGACTCGATATTATCTCTCCATGGTCTTCTTGGTTTGCCTCGTGGTCTACGACCAGTCAGCTCCCTTGTGTATACAGTTTTTACCTGTCATCTGACATTCTCTAAATATGCCCAAGCCATTTCATTTTTATAGCTCTCATGATGCCAATGATAAATGGTGATTTAAACAGATTATGAATGTCATTGCTTCTCACTCTCCATTCCCTGATGTTCGTATCTTTAATAGGTCCAAAGATTCGTCATAAGACTCTGTTTTCAAAAATTTGTAATAAGGCTTCATCTCTTTAGGTGTGCTCCAAGGTTTAGAGCCATAAAATGTCGGGTCTTATTAATGTTTTATATATTTTGATCTTGGTGTTGTGAGAAAGAGGCTCTGACTTTAGCAAAAATAAACAAATAAATCAAATTGTTTTCAGTTTGTTTAAATTCTTTATTTTCATGCTTTCTGTTTCTTCTGATTTCTATGATATTTCATTTTCACGCTTTTTTTTTTTTAAACCAACTGGATTCATTTTTTTTCTTCTTCCTACTTTCTGCTTTTTTGGGTGTCTCTGAAACTCTTCATCTTGTTTCTTCATTTTCAGCTGGTTACATTAAAAAAAAATCTTTCATCTGCCTACTTTTTAACTTCTTCTGGTTTCTTTTATTTCATCTTCTTGTTCCTTCTTCTTCACATCTTTACTGCCTCTTCTTCTTCTTTGTCTGTGTCATGTCTTTCAGTGTCATGTCTTTCAGTGTCATGTCTTTCAGTGTCATGTCTTTAAGTGTCATGTCTTTCAGTGTCATGTCTTTCAGTGTCATGTCTTTCATGTCATCTTTCAGTGTCATGTCTTTAGGTGTCATGACTTTCAGTGTCATATCTTTAGGTGTCATGACTTTCAGTGTCATGTCTTTCAGTGTCATGTCTTTCATGTCATCTTTCAGTGTCATGTCTTTAGGTGTCATGACTTTCAGTGTCATATCTTTAGGTGTCATGACTTTCAGTGTCATATCTTTAGGTGTCATGACTTTCAGTGTCATGTCTTTAGGTGTCATGACTTTCAGTGTCATGTCTTTAGGTGTCATGACTTTCAGTGTCATGTCTTTCAGTGTCATGTCTTTCATGTCATCTTTCAGTGTCATGTCTTTAGGTGTCATGACTTTCAGTGTCATATCTTTAGGTGTCATGACTTTCAGTGTCATATCTTTAGGTGTCATGACTTTCAGTGTCATGTCTTTAGGTGTCATGACTTTCAGTGTCATGTCTTTAGGTGTCATGACTTTCAGTGTCATGTCTTTAGGTGTCATGACTTTCAGTGTCATATCTTTAGGTGTCATGACTTTCAGTGTCATGTCTTTAGGTGTCATGACTTTCAGTGTCATGTCTTTAGGTGTCATGACTTTCAGTGTCATGTCTTTAGGTGTCATGACTTTCAGTGTCATGTCTTTAGGTGTCATGACTTTCAGTGTCATGACTTTCAGTGTCATGTCAAGAAAAGACAGCAGCTGAGAGCTTTAGGTGTGCCTCATACAAGATGATACAAGATGATACAAGATGATACAAGATGATACAAGATGATACAAGATGATACAAGATGATACAAGATGATACAAGATGGCATTCTTCTTAGTGTTCTTTCCTTTTCCCCCAATCAAAGATCAGGCCATAAACTCTCTCCTTCCAGGCTGCCCTATCTTCCGCTCAATACCTGCCGCTCTCTCCATGTCCCTACCATTTTAACTAATCTATAAAACTCTGATACTTCTACAATTCCTTGAAGACTAGACGCTACAGTGGTGACCAAAAATTATTTAGTAAATAACTGAACATACGAGGCTGGAGAAAGAGAGACTTTCAGGCGCTACATGAACAAAGCGACATCTTGTATGTAAAGAGCCTGTTGACTGACGATGATGCGAAAATAATTGAGTACTGCTTCAACAGGTCTTTTAGAACACACTAAACACAACCACTGCAGTCTACTGCATCATCTTTACATTATGCATCATCTTTACATTATGCATCATCTTTACATTATGCATCATCTTTACATTATGCATCCTCTTTACATTATGCATCATCTTTACATTACGCACCATCTTTACATTACGCACAATCTTTACATTACGCACCATCTTTACATTATGCATCATCTTTACATTATGCATCATCTTTACATTATGCATCATCTTTACATTATGCATCATCTTTACATTATGCATCATCTTTACATTATGCATCATCTTTACATTATGCATCATCTTTACATTATGCATCATCTTTACATTGTCAACTGTGAAAACAAATGCTGACTGGTCTATCAAATATAGGTTCAGGCCTATATGCTCAATATGCCTGAAGGTGTGGGACATGGTCTTATTTACCTACAACTTGTGGCCATCAGTGTACAATTGTAGAAGAATTCAAACGTGTGTTATACAAAGAGGTAAAGTTGAGAGATGTGAACCAGTGTCATTGCAGACGTTTACAAACCATAAGTGCTTTGCTGCAAGTACGGATAGCTAATAAGAAATTGTCTGCCTGCAACTCCCTAGCTACAGCGACATTCCCCCATTTACCCCAGAGTGTAAACTCTGGTACCCATTACCTAGAGGCTGGGTGAACCCCGGGAAACCGTCCGGTTTCAAACACTGGCTGTGGGCTGCAGCGAATGGCAGCTGGTTTTGAAAGCGAGTCTCCTATCAACTGCACTAATGCAGCCCCCTACGTGTGATATTTATGGAAGAAGCAGAAGATCACTGAATACATTTTATCTTACGTATCAATATAATCACACACCAACGGAAGGATATACACAATAAAACAGCACCAGATAACAACAGAAGTTTCCATCTTGTTACAAACTCTAATATCGATCTACACGTCTGCTGCTCAGAATGTTCTCTGTGTGATCATACATAGAACATTTGTTCGAAGTAAGTCCAGTCATTCATTTTCATAAGCTAAAGTTCGCCGTCTGCTCTTCTGCATGATTAGAAATACACTTGTATTAGCAGGCAGCTGTCAGAAATTGGTGCCCGACTTGTGCCCCGTGATTGTATCTGAGCTTACGGACCTGAGTGAAAAAAAAAGACAAGTAATATTATTACTGATGTGAATGAAAAAAACAATGATAGTATATTATTAACTCTGTGGATGAAGGAAGGGAGCATTATCTTTCCTTACAGTGGAGTAGGAATGGAGAAACATTCTTTACTTTAGAGTTGGCAGGAACAAAAGATCTTTACATTTAAGTAGGAAAGAAGATCTTTCCTTTTATTATAGTAGTAAGGGAGAGAATATTTTTCAATATACTGAAGAAGAAAAGGAGAAAATATCTTTCATTACATTTAAGTAGGAAAGACGACCTTTCCTTTTATTGGTGTTAGTTGTGTATCCTTTACAGGACATTGCAGAACCAACACCAGCATTTTTGTTTTCTTTTGTGATTTCAGTAGGTCATCTTAGGTTCGATAGTTTGCCACTGCATCTTAATGGTCAGCTATGGAAAGCACTGTCCAACAAATGCAAGGCGGTTTGCTGCAGAATCGCCCACAGCTGGAATCAAATCCAGCACCCAAGAATTATAAAGTTTTATTTGAACAGTAAAGAAGGAAAGATTTTTATTTATACTGGAATAGGAAAGGAACTATCTTTATTTATACTGAAGAAGGAGGAAAGAAAAGATCTCTTTTTACACTGTATGAGGTAGAGAGAGACATTTTTCTCTCTCTCTCTCTCTCTCTCTCATACATATACATACATATATATATATATATATATATATATATATATATATATATATATATATATATACACACACACACACACACACTCTCTCTCTCTCTCTCTCTCTCATAAGGGAAAAGTTGCCAAGAAAAATCCACACAAAAAAGATATAATGCCAACAAATATATGCAGTGTTATTTCTGAATGAAATGACTAATAGTAAAATTAAGTAAAAAAATACAGGACCCTTTTCGCACACCTTCAAGCATACTGGACACATAGGGCTAGACCTACACTTTATAGATGAATCAGCACTCCGTGGGGGATGTAGTCAGCATCGTGCCGACCGCCTTTACTTCTTAGAACTCTATCTGGTACCCATTTATGGCTGGCTCAACCTGGGATCCAATGTCCTTTTTGCAAAAAGTCCGGCTTCATCAGGACTTAAACCCACGACCTACTGATCCGCAGGCGACATCTTGCAACCACACAACAGCAGTTCACAGTAACATAAAGACATATGGAAAAACACTTTTTCTTCTAATGTCATATCATTATTATCCTGTAGCTAATTCATGATGTCGTGCTGTAGTATGTATGGTGGCAGAGACTGAGTGTATATATATATATATGTGACAAGTGAAAACTTATGATTTGATTTACATTTCAGTAAACAATAACAGAATGTCAAACTAATAAATCAGGAATGTAAACAAACCGACTTATGCAAAAACGGCTGCCAGGTGATATAATGAATAAAGAATTAATGAAATAAATAAAGATAACAGGAAGCAGAAAGACATGGTCAGGTAGATAAGGAAATTGCAGATTTTTGACCAGCAGATTTAGTAATAAAAATGGTCATTTAGCACCATAGATGTTATTATCTGCAGCAAAGAAATAAAAATGGTCATTTAGCACCATAGATGTTATTATCTGCAGCAAAGAAATAAAAATGGTCATTTAGCACCATAGATGTTATTATCTGCAGCAAAGAAAAAAAAATGGTCATTTAGCACCATAGATGTTATTATCTGCAGCAAAGAAATAAAAATGGTCATTTAGCACCATAGATGTTATTATCTGCAGCAAAGAAAGGTTGCTGTAGTGATAAGTAAAGGACCTTTTTCCACAATTTCATGTGCACTAGGCACATAGGGCTAGACCTGTATTCTATAGACCTATCAGCACGTGGTGGGTGATGTGTTCAGCATCAAGCCTGTCGCCTTTACTTTCCAGGACTTTACCCGGTACCAATTTAAGGCTGGCTTGACCTGAGAGCCAAGTTCATTTCTGAGAAACAACCGGCTCTGTCAGGACCTGAATGCACAACTTTCAAATCCACAGACCAGCACGGCTGTTGTGATATATTAACAATTTAATATTTTTTACATTATTTTTTTAGTATATTTAATCAGTTTCCAATCACAGAGACAATGAAATGTTAGCAGTGAAATATCAATTTTGTGTTCTCCATGAATATTTGTTCTCTATATTTCATCAGTCTAAGGTCAGGTCTTGGTCAGATAAGACTGAGCTACCGTATAACAGTAGCCGGTAACACCTGTCTTCTGTTACGCTGAATGTTGGACGGCGTATACTAACCCAGCATCCCATATTGTGCCATTGGCATCGGGCGGAGGAGCGCAGTCCACCAGAGAAATTACATTCCAGCAGAGAAATATCAATTTTTTCATTAATATTTAGGCTATCCTCCGAATAACAGTCCCAAATTATCAAGGCCGAAAATATACCCTAACAGGGCCTCAGTCACGTGTCAACTGCGGACTTCAGTGGACTATACCATCACTGCCGAATTGCAGACTTCCTGGGATTATATCGTCACCCCCGAGAGTAACCCCCACGCTGCTCACATGGCGTGTATTAGGTCTAAACGAGATGGCTAGGACTCACGAGCAAAATGAAGGAAGCTGCAGGAGATGCGGTAGCTGCTACTCGAAAGCCCCAGCCATCTAGTTTAGCCCCAATCCACGACGCTCAGGCGTGGCGGAAGTCACCGGCAGTGCGCAATTTAAGTCGCCGGAAGTCCGCAATTGACACGTGACTGAGGCCCTGTTAGGGTATATTTTTGGCCTCGATAATTTGGGACCATTATTCTGAGGATAGCCAATATTTATTATCTATATTTCATCAATTTGCCAGAGAAATTAAATTCTACAGTGACATATTTATTTTGTTTTCTTACATTAACAGTTATTCTGTTCAATTAAATAATCGGCCAGAGAAATAACATTCCAGCTGTGAAATATCAATTTTGTGTTCTTACATAAAAAAATTTCTCTCTATATTTAAACAATCCAGAAGCGATCTGGGGAGCCACCGTCGTCTAGCGCCTAGGTGCTCGGCTGCAGATCGGAAGGTCATGGTTCGGTTCCTGATGAGAGCCAGATTTTTTTTCAAAATGACCTTGGCTCCTAGGTTGACCCAGCCTTGATTGGGTACTAGGTACAGTCCTAAGAAGTAAATGCAGACAGTGTGATGCTCACCACATCACCCACCAAGTGCCCTTTGGTCTATACAATACAGGTCTTAACCTATATACCCAATACGGCTGAAAGGCGTGAAAAAGGGCCCTTTATTTTACTTTACCAGAGAAATGACATCCTAGAGAAAAATATCAATTTTGTATCTGAAAATTCAAACATCGAATGTGTTATCTACTGAAAGAATGAATGAAACATTAGTAGGCAATATACAAATTTGATATTTTTATCAACATTTAAACACGGTTACAAACAACATGTGGGGAACAAATTTCAGGGGAATCAATATAAATTTCATATGCTAAATTTGATTTTGTAACATATTTAGCAGCAGAAGCTGCTAATATAAGTTTCATATTTTAAAATATTTTTTCTATAAATGTAACTGCAGTTAATAATTTAACTGTGTCATGCAGTATAGAGTTAAATAAAAATTTTTAAAAATTTGTTTATGTAAAAATTCTCCTCACTAGAAAGTTTCCTCCTCTTCTTCTTGATCCTCATCTTCTTTCTCATACCTTCTTTCTCCTCACCATTATCGTCTTCCCCCATCTCCCAGTATAGAATGGACCCTCAACCAAGTCACGCCATAGCCTTCTTCTTCAACATTCCGAGCCTTTGATGGTGATTGCTGCAGATATCGCCCGCCTCCATTCATCTCTACAGCCACAGCCTTTGCAGACTTATTATTCTACTGTATTTCTGTAGCTCAAGTATCCTAAGTTAAATCTTTCATCTTCAAAGGGATATTATTATGTTCATTTTCTCCTAGAAAGACGTCAACAAATCGTTGTGTCAGAATTTCATAAAATAAAAGTATTTTGTGAGAAAAGGGTTATAGTAACAGCTGGATCAGTAAAGATCAGTGTAGTAACTGGATTCGGCATGAAGAGTTTAAAAAATGTATAACGTTAGTAGGATCCGTTTAAATAAAAAAATTTATAAGGTTAAGCAAAATGAATTAATAAAAATGTATAATGTAAATATATCAAGACGTCCCCTTGTAAGATAAAATTTTTTTTTTATTTGAAGCCCCACCCTGACTTCTGCCAGGGGCCCTGAATATAGCCGGGGCATAGATTTGACCTAACCGCTGAAAGGGGTTTCTGGGACCTCTTTATGGGTGATCCTCATCCGCATGGTGGCACTTTGTGTCACCGGGTATTCATCGCTTGTGTGAGGTCCTGGTGGGGTACAACTACCTACCTAACCTACCTGTAATTTAAGAAAGATCCATTAAAATTGTCTAAAATATGTTTTAGGTGGCACATTCCACCCACTCCCATCCCCCCACATAAAATGGGATAAAGAAGAGGAAGAATGCATTCTTAATCTATAATAAAATGCACGTTTTCATATTAATTAGATTTTTAAAAGCAGATGTACAAACTGCTCATAAGAATACAAATGACACTGGTTTTTTTGTTTGTTTTATAAATAGATTTAAAAGTGGAGAAGAAAGGATGAGTTAAAGGTAGTTGTACCCCACCAGGATATCATACAAGCGATAAATACCCGGTGACGCAAAGTGCCACCATGCGGTTGAGGATCACCCGTGGAGAAGTCCCAGAAACCCCTTTCAGCCATTAGGCCATATCTATGGCTAGTCCATATCTATGCCCCGGCTATATTCAGGGCCCCAGGCAGAAGCCAGAGTGGGGCTTCAAATAACAAAAAATTGCATCACACATGGGGATGATTTCAGTTTATGAGTTAAAGCAAGGGGAGAAGAAGGTAGAGGAATGAACGATTTAACTTTTTTGAGGAAACAAAGTCAGAGCAGATAAAGATAAATAAGGAAGAGGATGGCAGCTGGGGAGAAGAAAGATGACAGTATTGGAGA